TGTACTTTTTCTAGATTTGGCAAAATTGTCTTCCATGTGGGTTCTACCATTCTTCACTTCAAACAGCAATGAAAGAGCATGTCTGTTTCCTTTCCAGCTTCCCCAGTAGAGTACGTTGTCAAACTTTCATAGTTTTGTCATTTGATAGGTGAAAATTATATTTTGGAGTAATTGTAATTTGCATTTTTAAATTAAGAGATCTTTCCGCATGTATACATGAGACATTTGTATTTCTTTTCCAGAGAACTGTCTGCTTCATTTTCCTATTGGATTCTTATTTCTATTGCTGATTTTCCTATTAAATTCTTTTTTCTGATCAACTTTCAAGAGCACTAAATATATTAGAAAGATTATGTGTCTATATGTTGCCAACACTTTTTTTTAGTTTGTCATTTATCTTTTGCTTTTGTTTTTATTGTTGTTTACCATGTAGAAGTTTTGTTGTTTCATGTGCTTTTAAAATGTAGTCAAATTTATTTATTTATTGTTTGATTCTGGCTTTTGAGTTATAGTTTGAAAGAAAGGCCTTCCCAATTCCAAGATTAAAAATGAACTTACTCATATTTTCTTTCATAATTTTAGTTTCATTTTTTAAAAATACATATATTTGATTCATTTACAGCTTGTAAGAATAAAGCTATCCTTCCAACCTTTATCTTTTTCCAGAGGGCTAGCCTATCGTCTCAATATTACTTATTAAATCCATTCTTCCCCCATTGATGTGAGATACACTATAATACACTAAATTGCCATATGTATTTAGGACTATTTCTGGACCTTCTACTCTGTCCCATTGGTCTATTCCTATCCCACTCTGTTTTAATTACTCGGGCTTTAACTATATTTTAATAGGTGGTAGAATTAGTCCCTCTCATTCCTCTTCTTTTCCAGCAATTTCATTGTCATGCATGCTCATTTTTCCTTGTAAAATTTTGACTCATTTGTCGAGTCCCAGAAACAAAAAACAACACCTACTGATATTTTTATGTTGGGGTGGCATCAGATTTATACATTGAGTTAAGAAGAATTAACTCATGGTGCTATTTCCTATTCAAAACATGTTATTTTTTCTATTTAAATCTTTTGTGATCTCTAAGAGTGTTCCCCCAGCCCTTTCTTAACACAAAAGATAAAGATACACCCATAGGTTTTACGCATCTTTTCTTCTACTGTATCTTCAACAAATTGTTTGGAAATAAAATGTCTATTGATTTCTAATATTTTTATATCTTACTTCCCACTGAATTCTGTTATTGTTAGTAGTTGGCTATCAGCAGTTTCTCTTGGGTTTTCCAGGTATATAATCATATGATCTGAATATAGTCAGAATTTCACCTCCTAACTTTTTGAGAACACTTTTCCTGTGTAGTTGCTCTGGACAATTCTTCTAGGACAATCTGAGAAAGTGGTGCTGATAGTGGACACCCCTGTCTTAATACTGATTTTAGTAAGACCATCTGCAGGGTTTGTCTCTTAAGTGGAAAGCTGGTTTTTGGTGTAAGGCATATAAATTGTATTGTATCCTATTAAGGAAAAATCCATTGATTCCCATTCTATTGCCTATTTTAAAAATCAAGCATAGGTGTTAAATTTTGCCAAATGCCTTTTCAGCATTTGATAATCATTGAATCATGTTTGCCTTCCTTGAATAAGTCATTTGAGTTTGCAACCCCTACTTGAAAATAGCAAGACTGATTTTCTTATTAGAGAGGTGCCAAGGACATTTTGAAAAACGTCCTGGGTGTAGAAATGTATATGGTCTTCCAAGGACAACGATTATCATGGATACATAATCTCCAGTTTCAGTGCATTTTTTCTGCCCTATGTTTGGTTAATTTGGTATTTATGAAATTCCTTCTGGGTGCTTGAGCCTATATTTGGGGCAAGTAAAGATAGGATGTTAAAGCTACCAAAACATCAGTAAAGGTACAATATAAAGAGTGGGATAAGAGAGAGTAGCTGATGAGAAGACAAGCAAGAATATGAGAGGTTAGGAGAAAAAGAGACTAAACAGAAGTACCATCTCCTGCAGGAGTTAGTGGCGATCCCTCACCAGGTCCCTGTTCCATCACTGGTCTAGTTCAGTGGTTCCCACACCCCACCCCGGACCCTTTTATTACTTTTTCCCAAAAGTACTTGCTTTTAAATACTTAATGCACTCCTTGGCTATACCAAATTAATTGTACTTAAGTAATAATTAATTAGTGTGCCTTTTTAATGAAGTCATTTACAGCTGCCAACCAGGTTCTGGTCAGAATGTGCTAATCAGAATTACCATGCTGAGTTGATGTACTTTCAGCCAAAAGCACAGAGACTTGAAGTGTCATTTAGCTCAAGGAGGCTCATCTTGGGTAAGTGAAAAATTCTGGAAGTCTTTCTAAAATGCTGATATTAGTGTGCATAGAGCTTATTTCTTTGTTCCTGGATCTCTAAGGACACAGAATCTCAGGGTGAGGACCTCGGATCTACTCTCATTCAAGATCTGGTGCTGTCTGAAAAGGCCACGGGAAGATGCAGACTTCACCCATGAGAAGTGTGTGCCCCCATGACATATACTAGATCATTCTCTTAACTTCTCTACTAGAGATGCCCAGGGATGGTTTTTATAATTGTTCTCTCATGTGAATAATTCTCTGTTCTGAGAAAAACAGAGTGAAGATGAGTGGTGAGAATATTGCTAGAATAAAGTCAAAAGCTTTTCAGTAACAAAAGTGGCTCCCTGGCAGAAGCGAAGGCCTCGACAGGGGCCTGGTGAGAGTGCAATGCTTAACACAGGGGCCTATCATTAGAAAGTCATGCCAAGCCCGTTCCTGCCAGTGAGTGAGCGCCCCATCCCTGGGCTGTACCCCAAACCAATTAATTCAGAATCCCTAGGGGACAAGCTTCAGACATCAGTAATTTTTAAAGCTCCCCAGGTGAGTGAGTCCAGTGGGCAAAGAATGCCCTAGAGCCTTACTACTCAAAGTGTGGTCCTCGGACCAGTAGCATCGGCATTGGTGGAAGTTTGTTAGAAATATAGACTCTTAGGCCCCACCTTAGACTTCCTGACTCAATCTGCATTTTAACAAAATCCCTAAAATATGAGTGTGCACAGTAAAATTAGGCACGCAGCGTTCTAGAGTGGTGTTTCTTAACCTGGTCAGGTACCCGCATCACCTGCATCAAACTCACCAAGGGTATGGGACGGTGGGGGAACGGGGGTCAGGGGACTTCTCAAGAAACCAGATTCTCGAGATGATTCTATAGGTCTGACAGCAGGGCCCTGGAATCTGCATTTTTATGTGCTTCCAGGTGATTCCTAAGCCCATTTGAGAACTGCTCCCAAGAGCAAAAGTCCGCAGTTGCCTTCTCCTATCCTCATGGAAATTCCCTCAGTGACTCTAAAAGGTCAAAACATAGCCACTGTAGGTGGGGGAAGTGTTGGTGATGATCTCCAAATGCTTCCCAGCCTGACGAATGTGATGTTTCTGCTCGCTGTCCTGTAACAGAGCTGGCGGTGGCACTGCCAGGTCACTTAGAGTTAAATCCAGCTTTCAAATTGATACAGAAATAAGTCTCTGCATTCAATTTGTTAGTGACCGAATAGGCTACAACTAGGATACAAAAGCTTCTACTGTAAAAGCAGGATTAAAAATATAAAATGTTGATGCTCAGATGTATTCCTCTTCGAGGATTTCAAAAAACCCTTAAAATGCAGGGTAGAGAGCTGAGAGAGAGGAAGAGCAAATTCCCCGTAGGAGAGTTCTTCATTTTACAGTGGTTTTTTTTCTTTTTGCTTAGGTCCAGATTTTTAAATAACATGAGTAAAAAAGCGAAGACGGGAATGGAAAACTTGTACTCTCTCAAAAGATGATTTTCAAGTGTGTAGTACTTCCATGTAGTTTTAAAAGCATTTCAGCTCATGTAAGATATTTAAAAGCTTCTATGATAACAGAAGCTTTAAGTAGATTTATCTTCAAATACCTAGGATTCTGAAGTATGGCTCTTACTTGACTTGAGGTGACAGAACAGAAATCTTTCTAACTGTAAAGTGGAATAAGACCATAGCAAGTGTAACAGATAATGTAATGGAATGGGGAACTGCAATGTGATCTAAACGAACTTGCTAAATAATTACTGAGTTAAAATCAGCAAAAGCAAACCTAACACTGGAAAAAAAAAAGATTTTTGAGGCGTTGCTTTAAACACTTTAGAGCAGCATTTCTTAGGCTTTTGGGGGAGGCACACAATGGTGCCCCCTTGAAGCTCTAGTGAAAAGCTACGGACCCTCCTCCCGATGCACACGTCTGCGTGACCACAGGCATACACACTGGCAATTTCTGGAGTTCCACAGACTCCCTGGGGCCCATGTGGACAGCAATCCGCAGGCCCCATATTAAGAACCTCAGCTTTGACATTACATTAAAAAAAAGGGGGGGCTCTGTATTGATTTCTCCCACTTGGAACCGCTTGAGACCCAGGAACAACTTTCTCAGCGTCTAGGTCCCAGGTGGCAGTGAAATTAGGGTTGATTGTCTTCACCTACACAGAGACAATTAGGCCGGCAATCTCGTGGGGATGAGCGAGGCCAGGTGAAAGCCAGACCACTAGATTATGCCAGGGAAAGAATCCCTTTACTGAAGAAGCCTGCACCTGTTCAGAAAAGCCGCCTCCATCCTCTCCGAGGGGCTCAGCCACGGGCCAGGGGCGCAGGCAGAGCCCGAGGCTGCTGTGGCTCTGTTCACATCAGGAGGCGAAAACTTTTGACAAAAGTTGGGAAGGAAAGTGGGCTCTTAAAAACACTGTCTACGCCCCTATTTACCTGAAGACTCAAACGTGTCAGAGAGGGAAGAGACTTGCCCCTTCACCCCACCCCCATTTAACAGATGAGGAAACTGACCCCAGTGGGCTAAGTGCCTGCCAAGGTGACGTCCTTTGCCAGGCTCATCCCTGGGCCCTGTCCCCGCACCTCCCGCCGCCCGCTGTGGCGGGGGCGCCGCTGGAGCCGAGCCCCCGCCTACCGGCACCATGGAGTAGGTCATCATCATCAGCATGTCCTGGCTCTCGGCGCGGATGTGCGGCGCGGGCTCGCCACCGTGGCTGCGCTTGTTGCGCGCGGCGCTCGCGGGGTCCGGGGGTGGCGCGGGCGCCCGGCGCGGCGCGCGGCTCAGCTCGGCCAGGAAGGCGCGCAGGGCGGCGTCCTCCTGCTGCTCCCTGCCCCGCTGCGCCTCCAGTGCCCGCAGCGCCGCGCTCAGCCCGCGCCACTGGCACAGCGCGAACACCGTGCCCGCCGCGTTGAGCGCCGAGAGCAGCGCCACGGCCGCCAGGGCGCCCCGCATCCCCCAGCCGCTCGCCCGGCCGCCTCCTTCCGCGCCTCGGGCCATGCTCAGCGCGCCTCGGGCCGGGCAGGGCAAGGCTCGGCCGCCTCCGGCCCCGGGCAGTCTTTATACGCCTCGGGCAAGCCGTGGGCTGGTGGCTGCGCCGTGAGTCACGTCGCCCTTTGGCCCGCCTGGCGGGGCGGGTTGGGGACAGTAGTGGTGGCGCCCGAGCAGCCCAGAGGGACAGGCGGGCAGAGCGGGGAGAGGAACCAGTGGAGTCAGCCTACGGGGGAGGGGCAGGCAGGGCTGCGCTCCCAGCAAACCCGCCTCTCCCTCCTTTTCCCGCCGCTGTGCCCGTGGGCATTGCCGTGGCCCAGACAGCCACATCAAGAGGCAGACTGAGGGGGAGAGCAGGAATGCTTAAGTCTATGGATTCCACCCCCTCCTCCCCTACGCTGCCCTCTTTGGAGAAAAGGACCAGCGTGGCCAGATGCCAAGGCATGGTGCCCACTGTCCCTGGAAGGTCAGCTGTGGGACCCAGCCCTAGGCTGCCCATCTCTCCTCCCTGTGACCTTGGGGCCCTACGTGGCCATGAAGCCCCCAAGCCATCTTTCCCAGGAAAAGGATGGCTAGGGACAGGGAGACAGTAGGCACTGGAAGGTTAAAAAGGCCACCCATCATCAGAACCAGAAAAGCCCAGGCCTGCCTAGAAACAGGAGTCATCCCCAAAGGGACATTTCCAGGACTGACAAGCCAAGCACTCTCTCCCATGTGACCCGTACTTCCCAAATCCCTGGGAAATGGCAGCGTGATGAGAAAAAAACCTCAGGAATCGGGAGACCTGGTTCTAAAGACACCCTGCCACTCCCCAGCTGGGAGGCTTTGAGCACATCCAAGACCGTGCCGAGGTGCTTTCTGGCTGAAGAGAGCCCAGTCAGTGTTGGGACCTTACTTAACCAGGCTTGCAGGTGTCCCATGCTTCCTGTGGACCCCTTCACAACACCCTCACTTTTCTTTCAGCTCTGATGCCTGCTCTGCCTCAAGGGCCACTGTCCTCCAAATGTAGAGTCACTTCAGAGCCTCCTCAGTGGACCCCCTCACTTGTGATCTTTCTCAGCTTCTCCCAAAGTGGCTGTGCTTCCCTGTGGCCCCAGGGTTGGTGGGAGGCCCTGGTCCTATGAGAAGACCCAGCCAGAAGCCAAGATTGCTGTTTCCACAGCCCAGGAACTCAAGGAGAAGGTGGCTCCCTGCCAATGAGCCAGCTGGAGCCGTCAAGAGAGAAAGGACTTCCTCTAGTGTCAGGGCAGACCAGTAGGATGGCAGGGGAACAAGCACCTTTTCACTTGATAGGCGCTCTGTAACCATCTACTTCCCAAGGATTTGCATTCCAATTCTTGCAGGTAGATTTATGGGCACAGGAGAGAAAGCCCAGGTGATATCAGACTTCTTGCCCCCTACTCTCCAAGGCGAGCCAGGATGGACTGTCCCAGGAAGCACAAGAAAACATCTCAATCACAAGGTTGTATTCCTGAGTTTGAATGGGAACATTGACCAACCTGAGTATTCTTAGAAGAGTATCCAGGATGAGGAGGGATAGGAAAGCATGAAGGTCCAAGTGGTTCATGTAGGACCCCAACTATGGGGACATGATGACTGGGAGGGGATGGCAGTGATGTAGATAACTTTGTCTGGTTCCTCCCAACTCTAACACTCTAACCTGCCGTGACCTACTTGAAGAATTGTCATGTATTCTTTTTGATCTCTTTTCATTCAGGTGTCAGGCTTAAGGCCAATAGGGAGAAGCAGAGTTGGGGCGCAGCACCAGTAAGAACTTCATTTTTTTTTTTTTTTTTTTGATAGAGACAGGTCTTGCTCTGTCACCCGGGCTAGAGTGCAGTGGTGCTAAAATAGCTCAGTGCTATCATAGCTCACTGCAACCTTGAACTCCTAGGCAGTAGCTGGGACTACAGGCAAGTGCCACCATGCCTGGCTAATGTATTTTTTAAAATTTTTCAGAGACTGGGATCTTGCTGTGTTGCCCAGACTGGTCTTGAACTCCTGGCCTGAAGCAATCCTCCCAGCTTGGCCTCCCAAAGTGCTGGGATTACAGGCGTGAGCCACCATCCCGGCCAAGATCTTCACTTAATTCAGTAAACACTTAACTGTGTGTCAAATTCTATGATGGGCATTGGAGATAGAGTGAACAATGCAAGCAGCTTACAGTGTGAGCAGTTGGAACACCATGGAGTCTTCTGGGCTTGTCTTTATCCTAACAATCATTACAGTTACTGTTGACTGACCATCTGTCACCAATACCTACCATTAACAGCAGAATAAGGCTCCTGAGGTTAGGGACCACATCTTGTGTCACCCATATCACATAGCACAGTCCCTGCCTTGACACAGGTATTCACTGTTGAATGAATGAATAAATGAATGGCAGGCTGTGTAGTGCACATAGGGCATTTCTATGTACATTATGTAGAAAAGTATGTATGTGGTGGGGTAGGAGGGCTTAAACTGTTCTTATGCCACAGAACGGGCCCCCATTTTCCTTGCAAGGCTGGCGTCCATTGGTCAGAAGAGTAAGTGGTAGCCTGAACTGGCACCGCCACCCCAAGTTCAGAGCCCAGAGCCAGTAGACTGAGTGGAGATGAGGCCCATTTGGAGCCAGCCGGGCTCTATCCGACAACCTCAGGCCAAGAAGCTGCCCGACTTGGGATGAAGCACTCTATGCAGACTTGTGGCATGGGCACATGAGCTGGGAGGGTGGAGTGCCTGAGATATTGCTCTGGGGCCAAGAGAGGGGCAGGGTAAGGGCAAAGGAAAGGCCAGACTCCTTTCCCACCTTACCCCTGTCTCAAATCGCTCTCCAATTCTTTCTGTGTAGGATTATGACATTTTTCGTGGAAGAAGGTGAGGCGTGTTGATATGGTCTACAAGGTAGACATCTTCACTCATCCTTTACTCCAAAGTGCTGTATCCAAGCAGATGCCTTAATCTGTCCTCTTCTGCCTTCTCTGTCTTCTGTCTACAATGCTCTTTCCACCACAGTGCTGAGCATTGGCATGTCTCCTTCACTGGCCTCTCGGTGTTGCCCCCATTAAGGCCAGCTCAGAGCCCCCTTCCTCACTGAGCCTTACCTCCCTGCCCCAGCTCCCAGCGCTCCCTCTCCCTGAGCTCTGCAGGTGTCAGGGTCTCAGAGGTTGTGCACCTGGGCTTTGGAATCAGACAGACCTGAACTTGAAACTGCTTTTCAACTGTGTAACTTTAGGTATGTTACTCATCTTCTCTAAAGAGACTGTAATTGGCTGCATGCAGTGGCTCACACCTGTAATTCCAGCACTCTGGGAGGCCGAGGCAGGAAGATTGCTTGAGGCCAGGAGTTGGAGACCAGCCTGGGCAACATAGCAAGACCCTATCTCTACAAAAAATAAAAAAATAAAATAACCAGGTATGGGGGCACATACCTGTAGTCCCAGCTGCTCAGGAGGCTGAGGCAGGAGGATGACTTGAGCCCAGGATTTTGAGGCTGCAGTGAGCTATGATTGGGCCACTGCACTCCAGCCTGGGTGACAGAGCAAGATACCTTTTCTCTCTTAAAAAGAGAGAGAGGGAGAAACTCTAATTGTATCTGTTTCATTTCATAGGATTGTGAAGATTTTAATGAGAGAATACAAGTAAAGCACTTGGCGTATAATAAATGTTCAGTGTAGGTTTGTAGTGTTGGCTGTGGGCTGAATGAACTTGCTGAGACTTAAACAGTGCCTTGTGCCAGTGACCAACATCTTAGTTCCGCCACATCTATTTCTTCAGTTGGGTTATAGTATGCTTAAGGCAGGGACTTATCTTCATGATGTCTCTCATAGCAGGGACTTGTGCCAAGTAGGAATATTTGATTAATTAATTGATTAGCAAATCACACTTCGTTGATGCTTTGTGAAGAACAGAGCTTCCGAATGCAGGGTGAACGTGGCGATCCTTGCTGAATACAGTGGCTTTGAGGTTGGTCATATGGGCCCTTCGCTGCGGATCCCTAAGCCTCCCGAGACTTGTTGAGAGGTAGATATGTCTATGCAGGCTGCCCTGCCTCATACTTCTCAGGACAGGCTGATACTTCTACTTTTTATTTTTTTAAAAAAGTTAGCTGTCAATCTGGTCTGCTTTGTTGACACAGGGGGCTCAAGAGTTAGTGAGGACACAGGGAGATATCTGAATTCCCTTTTCTAGAAGTCAAAGAGGCCAAGAACATTGTGTGCTATCTTTACAATGAGAAGTAGTTTTTCCATTAACAGACAGATGCTTCATTTCCAAAGGTTAAATAGAATGGTCCTTAAAATATGATTCCAGCTGGTTAACTTTAGGGCTCTGAAGAATAAAATCCAATTCAAGAATATACTCCAACTTTAATTCCACACAATTTCCTCCTGATTGTGAAGTGAATAATTTTCATTGCTCTAAGGGCTGGCACTTGGGTATTTTGGTCTCCAGTGATGAGGTTGGCAGCCACACTGTGACTTCTGATGGTGCTTTGCCGCCTGCACTCCCCTGCCCTTCCTCCGCGCCAGTGGATAGGGAGAAAGTCTCTCTAAAAGTTGTCACCATGTACATCTTCCTCTCAGCCTCCTCTAGTTTTAACTCCCCCTTCCTACTTCTTAACCCCAACAAACTTCAGACCACCCAACCAAAGTGAGCGATTCTCTCTCTCTTTTTTTTATTTGTTCATTCATTTATCCATTTGTTCAGCAAATGGGAATTGGGTGGCTGCTATCTGCCAGGAACTGTGCTAGGAGCTAGGAATAGAATGGAGAAAAAAACCAGACACGATTCCTGCCATCCTGAAGCCGAGAGTCTAAGTGAGGAGACAGATTTGCCAAGTAATTGTAGACACGAGGGCATATTTCTAAATGAGACCATGAGATAAGCGCTCAGAAGGAAAGGAGCATGATTCTGTGAGATCATATCACTGAAGAACCTGTCCTAGACTTGGGGTGCAGGATCAGGGAAGTCTTCCCTGAGGAAACGATGCTTGAGTTGGCATCTGAAGATGAGTAGTTGTTAGCGAGGCGA